ATGCGACCTCCATGAAAGCGCCGAAGCCCGAAACCCTGCATCTCTCACCTCTAGTCCCTTCAACCCTTCAGCCCAAATGCTTCGTATCTGAGTTTGACGGGAAATCCTACACCCTGAATCCCAAACACCCCTGCCTGCTGTAGTCCAAGCGGTCTGGCTTCCGAGCGGGAGGGTTGACGTCCTTCTTTCTCGCAGAGTTTGGGCTCCGGGACTCCGGGTGGATGTGGGTTCCGGGATCTTTGTGTTCTAATCGCTTCCTTCCCCATCTGTCACAGCCCTAGGAAATGCCTAACAAGTATCTGGGGCTCAGGATGGGTAGGGGTTGGAATTTAGATTGAGCATTTGCATGGTTTTGGGAGGAACGGAATGTTTATTACTTCCCACTCGGATCAAAGCAATGGCTGTAACTAGGTTGCAAGTAACCCACGCATCCTAGCCAGGCTTCGGGCTCAACACGCTGGCACGTGGTGTACTATGTACGGATTGCAGCACCACATTGTATTCTGCCTCACCGTAAGTTCAGCTATTGTCGCTTATACTACTCCATGTCATGTGATGAGCTATGCTGATGTGCTGCAACATGACACAATGCGCTCGTAACAAGGTTCAGAGCGTACGACTGAAGTCCTTTGCTGCCACCTCGGAGAATACCGGCAGTGACAAGCATACTCGTCACCACTGGTGATATTAGAGTACAGAAACCATGGTGATCATACCAGTCTACGTTTTAACTTGGCCTTCACTGCGGTCTGCAGTCTGCTGAAGTGTTGTGTTGCAAGTCTGTGCATGGATATTAATGACGGGCAAGGCCTTTCCTTCCTGAACCTTGAACCTGCACTTCTGGCTGCTTTTGACCTGTATAGGTCAAATTATCTAAGCTTTCACTATGAGGTGTTTGTGCATTTTCACTCAACTGGCACTTCTATCTCTGCTAGTGCTGTTTTCCCGAAGGATAAGAAGCTACTGAGCTACTGGCTCAGGGCGCAGCTTCAAGCTCCAGGGTCTCAAAAAGCTTGTGATATGAAGGCTGGTGTAGGCCGCGAAAAGCTCAGGTTACTCCCCGTAGACCAAGAATTCAGGGTGCCCTCAGGCTGACGAAGCCCTCTCCTTGTTGTCGGTAGGTTGCAAAACCTGCGGCACCAGGGAGCGAAAGATGCCCTTGTCGTGGAAGTATCGAGTTCAAGCCGTACCCACGACACAGCAAAGCCGGAGAAGCCCAGCAGCTGCGAGCAGCCGACCTTCCGCTCCCGGCGCTGGTTGACGTCGTCAGCGTCATGGCTCTTCTTCTCCTTCAATGAAGGCCTTGGACTCTGAATTCGCCGTGGCCAAGACAAGTTTGGCGGACTATCAGACTATCAGTCTGTCACATCTCGTCTTGCCAAGTGCAACTGCGTAAGCCAAACGAAGTTCCAAAGCGAACATAAGGCGGCAACATGTCCCCGACGCCGGGGAAGGCCTCAACGACGAAAGAGTCTCTGGAAAAGCACAAAACACCCTGAAAGCACCTCTCTCCGTCCCTCAATCCGTCTTTAAGCAAGTATGCGCGCGTGCATGTCTGTCTGTCTGTATGTACCGATGAATGTATGCGTGCGTGTATATACATACACACATACATACATGTGTGCGTGTGTAAGTTTGCTTCGTTCGTGTGTAGATAGATACGTGTTTACTAGTGCGTGTGTGTGTAAACATATACACACATATGTACAAATAAATACACATGCAATATGGAGACATATACGTGCCCGCACATTTAGTGGATTTGATGGGGCAAGTTTGCACAGAGCAACCCGAGCTGCAAACACTGCAGATGATTCCGTCTGCATTGGTACAGCAGTGAGTGGGAGAGAATGTGCTAGAGAATCTCGGCTCATTTCACACGTATGTTCGTTACCGAGTTGATTTAGAACTACAGTCGCACGCGCCAAAGTCGCGCAACATTCTGACTTGATTCGACGAACCTAGCTTTTGTCTACTGCGCACGTGGCTAAACCCAAACTGCCTCACATTAATTACACAGAGCACATGCAATCTCAAGCAACAGTGGGCCGCCATGCCGAACATGATGGGTGCAGCTTGAGGAGTACGGTATACGGTAGAGCACGAAGGCCCGGGCCCGTAGCGTCGAGGAGTTCAGCGGCGTGCACAACGAGATTTTCTGGGGCTCTGATGCACAAGTAAGTACTACTTACTAGTTCGCTTCGTGTTGCTGCCACAGCTACTAGTACGATTATCTTTCACTTGTTACTGTTGGTTGGGGGGCCACGGCAATCGACCACAAGACCCACACACTGCTTGTATCTGGAGCTGCTTTGCATGTCAGATGGTGTTTGGTTGAACTTGTTTCTTCTGATGCTGCATCGGTTATGCTTAGCAAAGCTTGAGCCAAGACAGAAGGGCGACCAATGGCTCAGAGGCTACACTCACGATGCAGCGTCTGTAAACACGCTTACGACTCTCCACTCGAATTGAGCCGCCACGGAGGCAGTGATAGAGCCCAGCCTGCTCTAACTTGAACTTCTCCTGGGTCGCAGGATTCTTTTGGCTCGAGGGTTTGGGGTTGCAGGATTCAGGGCTTTGGGCTTTTGGAGATTCGGCGTCCCGGGGCTTGGGCTTGGCGCTTCGAACACAGCTAGACTGTTGCAAGAATCTACAGACGACCGCGTTGGAGGATGTCGGGGGCATCCAAGTGATCCAATGCAACCGAATACCACACAACAAGCTACTTGACGCAACAGTTTCGGAAACCTACACATGTAAATATCTACTATTGACTGTTCCTCACAAGAACTTCCCAAACAAAGCAGCAAAACACTAATGGTAGTAAGTATATGTAAGCATGGATAGCCGGGTACCGGGTACCAAGTACCAGGCTGCCCCTTCGGCAGTGAGCTTCTCTACGGCTTCCTTCAGGACCGCGGCCGCAGCCTGTGCAAGAAGACCACGGGCCACAGATTCAGACTTCAAGACTACCAGTTAGGTGCCGTCATGGATGGCTGGAGAGGAAACGCAAACCAACTCAGCATGTGCCGGCCTACTCCTTGCTTGGCAAAAGCTACATCACCCAACACAAGCGACCAACCGATTATCTTGAAAACGGTGCTTCGCAGAATGGACGCCGGAAGCCCTATCCGCAAGCGCAAATCCTTTTCCCATGCCTCAGCTGCTGCAACGGCATCATCGAGCTCCTGTCGACAACGTCCCATGTGACAGGCATGCTGCTACCAGCCTTCATTTCGTAGCCGGAGTTGTGGGTAGAAAGCCAGAGGCCGTAGAACACGATCATCAAATCAGAATGTGAGAGATTCATGCAAGTTGTGATCTATACCTCATCGCTTCCAGGTCGGACTCCGGAGTAGTAAAAGAAGCGAAGCTTGGGGCCCTGCGCAACCATCCAGTTTGACATAGCTGCTGCTACGTGTGCAGGCGTCTAAATGCCTTTACATATGCATATATATATATATACATATATACATATATACATATATACATATATACATATATACATATATACATACATATACGTAATATGCGTACGTATCCATTTGTTTATATGTCTTGCTTACCTTGTATCAACATTCATGTACAAATGCATGTATAAACATGTTTATATATATATAACATTGATATCTACAATATGTGCAAGTAGATGCAAGTGCATACACGATACTATACAAGTATACAACATTGACAACAGGACTGCTTCTGATCAAAAACGTAGTTGTATCTGGGTTGCCGTGGAGTAGCATTGAAAGCATTGGCAGATTACTAGCAGCCGTGGTGTAGCAGTAGCAGCAACAGAAGCAGTGGCAGTATAGTAGTAGTGGAAGTAGTATTGACATTGGGGACGTCGCACTGATCCAAG